CACATCTAGACACGAGGACGATTAGGGTCTTCAACTAAAGACTGGCTCAAAAGCCTGACCGCAAAGCGCTGTTTGGTGGGAAATGAGAATACACTGCTCTTCACAGAACAAGTGGCCACACATGTCCCAACCGTCAATCTGCAGAACCGCGAGCTTGTGTTCATCAGACCCCTAAGTATTAGCCAACCTGGTATGAGAGACGGTGAATGACACGCGGATAACCCGCAGTATAGCTCGATGGGTCGTGGAGGTGCACAAACCGTCACGCCATGGTGAGGTGGAGTCCCTTCGTGACGATGGTGTTCAAATGGTCTTCACATGTATGAAAATGCACATAAACCCACTTGACTGAGATCAATGTAACGAATTCGATTTTCTCAGGAGTGTATCAAGAGGGGCATTCAGGAAAAGTAACCAAAGCGCACTCGTGTCTTGATTCAAGTAAAGTACCTATATGTCAAACTACACGCGATTCAACAACACGAAATAAAATAGGTCTCAATGCCTAAGTATCATGCCAAAGGAGGCCTCACAACTTTGGTCGCGTGTGATTATCACAGTCCACACGTTGCACGTTTGAATGCACGCGAGAACGTTGTCGGGTGTCTCACATTCCACGTGTTTTGCACAATGCATCGGCACATGACAATTAAGTACTTAGTGACCACAGTTCACAGTACACTGCAACATAACGAATCACGTACGTGCAATCGTTCATGCTATTGAAGACAATTTTCATTTCGGCTGTGGTGAACCGTATAGAAAAGACCTCGGAGGGGAAATCACATTCCTACGACAACATCACTGTTCAACCAGTCAATTACATACCATTTTGGACGTTCTCTTATTCGGTGACTGTCGTCAGTTGGAAATATAAACCTGAATTTCTTGAGTATCGTCGCTATTTTATTCCGATAGATAGTCCACTTATGCATGACCGACAGACACTGCTTGATAATGCAAACAATGAACTCGTAATGTACTTTGCTTGAGCAACACTAATGCTATGAAGGCGACGTTAATTTATTTCCGGTGGTTTAATTATTGTCAGTTAATTGATTATGGTGAACGGTAGGGGGTTCGAAGAGGTTTAAGGGATGTGAAAAACGAGAACAGATGGTTGACCGATCGTACAGCACAGAAAAAATGCAACATCATAATGTGGTTCGGATGAAAATGTATGAACAACGGAAACCAACGCGGGTGGGTGCGTTGGGGGACAGCATAATACATTTCAGGAGTACATAGAAAGCCTTAGAAACGGATAACGAACCCCTGGGTTATCGGACTGAGCAGGTGGGTGGCTGGTATCCAGAAAACCAAACCATGTAAACAGAGCGCTAGCATCTTAAATGATCGATATCAGTAACCGGCCACACCATTCACTATGATTTATCGAGTGCCGCCACACCGCTGGTAGAAACAATCCACAAACGATGAATTATCATCCGTTGGCCCCAATGAATTGCCGCTTGACACGAAATATGCAATGCGAAAGTGTTCACCAAAATAGATGAAACAGCTGCACCGCATCAGCAAAAGTAATCTTCAACCTTATCGACTGATTTTATTAGGCGACCAAGAGTACCGTTATTTTACTTCGTTTCAATTATAATACTACTAGCATCATAATCAAAAAAAAACACTGACAACCTGGTCATTTGTACACGCATGTGGATGGGTTACACATTTGCGCGGTGATTGAAGCAGTTATCTGAAAGTCAAATTTACGAGTACTCTATTCCGCTGCTTCACTGAAGATCGGTCACGCCAAACGACCTGCGTTTTCAAATTGCTGTATCATATCGCAACAGTCACAGCCGAACACCAATCGCGGTTTTCCTCGACTTTAACGGAAAGTTCGACAGTGCGACGGATTGGTCTTTGAAATATCCCTGATCAGAGGAATATGTGTGTTTTGTCCCTTCAAACTACAGGCTGACTTCCGGATTTCGCATCTTCTTTTGCCCTAATTTACACATACCCAAGGCACCAACAACGTTCACCAATGTGTACCTTCTATGGAGAGATGCATTTCACATGTATAGAAGCTAAGTGTAAGAGCGGTCTTATTTTATGGCTGTTGAACTTGTCCCATCCCATTCGAGGATATTCAATGTTTTCAACCGTCCGATAACGGAGTGGTATACAAGGTATGATTCAGCTAGCTGCAGCGTGTACGCAAGTATGACGTTCGATTTTTCTAGCCGATCGGAACCGCTGGAGCAGAAAAGTATATTAATCAGGTAAATGTAGATGAAGTATGTTCTAAGAATTTCCAACCACCGTCTACCAAGGCGATCGCAGTTTTCGGTCACAGACAGTTTCTTGCGAAGGCCATGAAGCCGATCGGAACCGCTGGAGCAGAAAAGTATATTAATCAGGTAAATGTAGATGAAGTATGTTCTAAGAATTTCCAACCACCGTCTACCAAGGCGATCGCAGTTTTCGGTCACAGACAGTTTCTTGCGAAAGGCCATGAAATAGCGATCGGAAATGACGGCAATCACGGTCATATTGAGCGCACCCTCCTCTTTGGGCCCCATGTGATTCTGCTTGTACATGACTGAAAACCATGCAGGGCATGGAAACGAAGCCGATGCCAGTGGCGCTCACACCGTCAGGGGAGAGATGTGGTAAACATACTTACCTCCCGTTTTTTCTCCGTAGCCAGTTGTAGGTTTCCACTTTTAAGGGCATTGGTCACGTGCTGCCACAGACGTCGGGATTCTTCTGGGCGCTGTTTATCAATGGGGCGCACATGCTTCCGCATGATTTTTAGGGTATTCACATCTATGGACCATTTTTTGCCACCCTAAAAAGTGGGTTAAAATGAAAGACAGACAGCGATATATCATTAGGAAAAGATACCACAAAACCATGTGAGAACCACAGCGAAGCACACGTACAACTTGAGTACAAAAAGTCGAGTCATAGAAGTCACTTAAAACTGCAAAAGACCGGCTGCACTGTCACAGCAGTTATATGGAGCTGACTGGACGACTTAATATCGATCAACCAATACCAAGGCCTTTCAAGTGTCGGCTGTCCTTTGTGCGAATCGCTTGAACAATCAATTCCAACTCGCTGATGAACAACGGAGTGAGCAACGAAAATCGCCTTAGGGGGACAGGTTGACGTACTTCATTGCATGTAGTTTCTATGATGAATTCCGAATCTCGAATGATCCAGTAGGATAGAGGCGAGTTGTTAGCTAAAAACGTCTTTCAGAATGATCTGGAAAGAGTTATATGTGAAATCTTCATCTAATGACTTTTCATGTATTAATGGACCGATTGGTGGAAAGGAATGTTCATTAATTTACGGGATTAGTTTTATTATGGTGGTATGCATCTAGAACAGCTGATATATTAGTTAACCTAATATTATCGTCAATCAGCTCAAGGCCGATGACCGGAAACCGATCAATCGCTCCTCCTGTAGTATTAGTGTCAGAAGATGTAGAAGAACCATCAAGTGATACGAAAGACAACACAGTATTAACGGGTACTCATAAGGAGATCAAAATCACGTTAAACGCGAACCGTTTCCTCTACGAAGTTTTCGTGAATAAGTGCCTTAATTTCCAAGAAAAACCGACGCATTTATCCTGGTTGACATAATAGGCCGCCGATATATGAAGAAAACCGTTTTTTCTGGGAAAACCTTTGGTATGGGTGCTTCAGTGAATACTAAACAGGCCTTTTGACTCGAGAGTTATGCTTAAGGTTGTGCAAGAAACTGGATTGGTTTCGTCCGTACTGTACACGTTACCATGTAACAGGCGCAATTAGACTGACTTACTTAGTCGGAGGACGCCATATTTCCCTCACTGTATAAAAGTGCAAAGCTGTCAGGATGGAATTCGAATCTAACAAGCTAGTCACTGATCACGGTATTGAACGTCTGAAATCCACCATTTTCTGCATAATTGCGCCCTAAATTGTGTTTCTGACGTCAGTATACAGCTAATACTCGTAGGCCAACAAATATGTGCTTCGAAGCCCATCTTATTCACAGCTCAACTTTTCCGAATATACGTGAATGTATGCACTAGCATCTTGCTGACAAATAATTAATTGATGTCGGTATTCGTTACCATGTCGGTTGGCGATTTGGAACATGCCTTTGAAAGTTCCCAAGTTAGACATTATCCTGTGAATGAAGTCACTCTATCCTGAAAAGACCAGAATCAGTGTGTGAATAAATGAGCACCTCACAAAACTTCAGGCAGTTTTGAACCCGCCAACTCCCGGCTAGTGGTTCGAACGCCTAACCGTTCGGCCAAAAGCGGTTGATCAGTAGTGGGATTAATTCACCCTCCACTGGAATTCCTTGGGGGCACGCATGTTGCACCACATTCATCTTCACGAAAGCTGTCTGTGGCTTTTCAACTATGCAAAAGTACACAGCAGGGCAGCGGCCACTCATCAAAACGAGAAAGCGATGTGTGCACAGGTCTGTGTAAACATGTTTCTATAAGGAAAAATCCGTCAACACCGGGCGGGGGTCAGTCGTTTTGCACAACTCTCGTGTTCAGATGCCTATCGCGTAAGATAGAGCAGGATTTAAGCGAGCGGTGGACATGACAAGATCTTCTTCGGCTGATTTGGTAGGACTATTGAACAATTCCGCTGTGGAATACACAAGTCCCGTGAGAATAGAACAAGCTGAGTGAAGTCGGGACGCACGCTGTCGAATCGTGTGTGCACAAAGTGTGGTGAAAACATCCAGTTAACAAACAGCCGTCTCAACTCAATCCTAGCAAAAGACCACTGATTAAACGATCACGAGTGTCAGGTGACGGAAAGTGTTGTGAAAATAGATAGACTTGAATGCGCTAAGTCACCATGTGGTATTTGTTGATTGCTGAACAATCACCGCTGAGACTTTTGGAGAAAGTGGTAGTGTTGCGCGAGCGCTACCCTAAACTGATTATGCATTTTATCTGTTATCGAACTTTGTGAAGGGGACGATATGAGGGAACTACCTTATCTTTGTCTACGGTCCCTAGGACAATACACCCTTTTGATGTGAATCTAGAGCACATCCACAGAACACGCACAAATAGTTTGTCCGTGTTCCGAATTTGCAGCAAAGATGGCGTGAAGGAAGAGCGCTACGCCGAGCGTTTTTCTATCAACGGTATGGCTCTTCTCGGCGAATATGGCGGCTCTGGTGGTGGTAATGAATATTTTGTCCAGGGACTTCCAGAAACAGTAGCAGAAACCATATGGTCATGCTTGGAATGCGAGGTTTAGACACGTTTGGCTAGAAAACGATCAACCGATACACAAGGAATTTCATGAAATGAATAATCTCATTTTAGGTATTTTGGATACGTGGTCCAGCCTCTAAAATCAACTGCGTTCTGACAGGATGAGTCGGCCTCACCGATACTACGTGCCGCTGCTGCCTATCAGCAGGTCCATAGAGAATAACAACTATATCAGATCCCAGTAACAGATACCAACCTTCTCAATTCATGTTGTCAGCAGCCCTTCAAATTGCACAAAGGCGTGGTTTACCGTATCACATAAAACAAACAAATCGTTCAGGTGTAACACTCTTCTGGTGCCTAGCTGCCATGCTACCCGAAGGAAGCATGAGGGATGGGATACTGTCAGGCTGCCCAAGCCTAGACAGGGGAAGTCGAGAGGCAGAGGTCGGGTTCGAACCACGGACCTTCCGGTCAGTAAATTCGCGCTACCTATTTTAGCCACCTCGCCCCGTTTACCGCATCAAAACGGAAACCAAGCCCTTTCCGTGCTCACCCGTTGGGTGTGATGGTAGAATCCAAATAGAGGAACACAATCAGGTGTTCAAATTCATTATCTATGCGAAGGATTATCATTCGAACACTTAACTACGTGGGTGAAATTTCTTTCACTGGTCTGGATCATAATTCCGAAGAGTCCTGAATGGTAGCTGACGCGATCATGAACAGCTTCTGAACATTCTAAACTTTCACTAGGTGAGACAGTTCAATCGGCATACTAAAGGTTTAGAACTCACAAATTCCGACTTCTTTGGACGTCAGAGTTTTCTTTTGTTACCCGATGCATCACCTAAGCAATTACTCAGGGATTGTAAGGAAAGTCCTTGTTTAACACTGGAGACGAGATAAAACTCGGAAGTCTCTTCGCTCACGCCTTCGTTGACAAGTAAAAAGTTTTGATGATGGTATATCGCCAGCAAGCAGAATAATAGGTAATCCCCGACAAGAAAGTGGATGAAGAATCCCATGATTTGCCAGTGTTCGAGCATACCGTAATTCGTAATATCTTCTCTGAACTATCTATGAGGATGATTCTCGGGCAATCTTAGCACACTGTTTCGTCATTCTGTTCATACATTGGAAGCAAAACTGATATACCACAGTAACAGGAGGAAGAGACTTCACCAAAGGGGACAGAGTAGTGTGTGTGGGAGTGAAGAATTACAAAGTGGTAATACTTGCACGTCCCTGGGAGGATGCTGTCTTCTCCCAAAGCCTGTCTACTTATGAGACGACTGACAACGGAATTAATAGCAGTTCATAACGTAAGGCTCCTATATCGACGCTTGTTAGCCTCACCTGAAGATCTGAGTGATTTGGCAGTTAGCTACAGTATTCCATTCAATGCTCATTCTTTTTCGACTGACCTGTTATAAGTTCGCCATTTTGTTGAGCAAACCTGGTTGAATGGGATAGTTTTCAACGGAGACAACACATAGCATAAATATCAACACACCAACGTTTCAAGCTTTCTCCATATTTGCAGCTATATTCCAGCGGACCTAGTGGCTTAACGCTGAAGATTTCGAATATCAAGAACCTTGTTGAGGCGTGCTCGTAATGCCAAAGTACAAAATTACATCTCTCCGTATGAAATTCAACCTCAGTCGTTGAGTGGTGCAAGTACGACAGTCCTTCAAGGCTTGTTTGATGGAAGTATCAAATACGGACGACTGATAATTCATCGATACCAACTGATTTCCGGGGTAGCTTAAATAGCTGGCTATCGGAAGCGATCGTACGCTGTTAGGGAAGACGTTCATGTGTTTTAAAGGCCAGTGGTTCAGACTCATGCGCGCGAAATTATGATCCGACTATGTTGTGTTCTCCGTTTAAGCTCCCCGATGCGGCCGATAAACTTCTACCGCTGATGCCCATCAAGACTAAGTCATGATGTAGACAACATCAGAATACCATGTTATCAAATACCGTTTTGAGTATTGGATTCGCTTATTGGTGATGTCGAGATGGCTAGACGCAACGAGGTTCAAAAGTTTGTCACCGCTTTTCCCATCGCTCTCTGGCCGACATGCATGAGAATTTCAGCCAAGTGCTCCCGGCCCCGATATCCCATCGAACGATCTGAGCAAAGCATAGTAAAATTTTATTGACTGGGTGCACGGCAATTACAGCTACGCTTGTGGCATTGCCTCTGAATCGAATTACCGCAATTCGAGCGGGACGTCATTCTGAGGTATGAGCGTTAAATAGCCACTGTCAACCGAATCAAATGTGGAGCTGCAGACAATCAACATTTCCACCGGATCACTCCAGTGGAGTCAGTAGTACGTACCCATTCCAGTTACCAAGATTCGTATGATGTTTGCTTTCAAACAAGCATGTGACTTCTAGCCAATAACTGTTGTGACTACGCAGTTAAAATTCAGGAGGGTGCCAACATTCCAGAGGCGTCGCTCCCCGGAAACGCCATTAAAATCTTGTGAGTCGATTGATCTGGACAGGACAGTAAGGAAATCGTCGAGAGTAGTGAGACAGAACTGCTTCCGATGCAGTGGAATTCCGGATGTGACTTCGTTTGCCCAGCCGGAAGGAACGGACGCGTCTGTTCGCCATTGTTGGCTTTGAATCGAGGTTTAGTAGGTTTCACTAGACAGACAACCCATGAACCGTTAGCCAGGCCGTAGCACCGGACAACTGCTTTTATCCTTACACTTTAGTGGGAGAACTGCAACAGGAAGGCAGCAGACGGGACTGGCGCAACAGAAGTTGCATAATGAAAGATCTTCCAAGATCAATTCGTGAAGTGCAGAGAACGACCTTACTAGTTCCTCAAGAGATCCAACCCCGACCACAACTATATAGTTAAAGGCTGAGACCTTAACGACGAGACTGCATATATTCAACAGTTGACGACGAGGCTAGCAGCCAAATAATAACCGTCCGAAAGGAGACACAAACAAGTGAGTCCACCGGGATACCTGGGTACAAGTTATTAAGCAAAACAATTATACCTACTCCGACTACGAGCTCGACACGACATTTAAGGATTTATACTAAGCTTGAATTAAAAGAACGTGGTCTAAAAATTCCAGTTGAATATACCGTCAAGGAACCATAGAAAGTGTCGGTTAGTGATCGCGCAAGCTGACGATAGCCACTCACCGTGAAATTTCGCCACATTCTGTCCACCACATCGCAAACGTCATCTCAAAAGCATTACGTATCCATCCGATCGATATGACGACTGGCGTCTGGTTCATGTTGACAGGTTTCTGCACATGTTAGCGTGTGCGCCGATAAGTACGGACGTCGTTCTCAGATCTTAATTATTGAAAACTATCGTTTGTGAGGTTGAGTGCATTAACCGGATTGGCTGCGCACACTGGATGAATAGGGGAACACTGAGACTAGTAGGTACAGGAAAACTGTGGATTCGATTGGTAGACAACACGACAAATCAGGCAATTTGACAATCTGATCAGTCACCCAAGGGGTATATAGTAGTTTTACGCCTCTATGGCTTCAAGCCTTTATCATGTCTGGAACAGCATCGTCTTCCATTCCTCCGAAAGGCGCGACACAACTTCCCAAGTTCGCGCACGGACAGACTTCTTTTAAGACGACACCAGCAAACGTGATAGTAGGAGGTTTCCTGTCAAATACGGCGGCCTGTGGTACAAAAGTTCAACGATGGACTGTGCCAACTGATCCGTTTGACCAGGTGTTTATCGAATACGCATTCACATCGCATTCATGTCAGTGGCCCTTCCGTCCTGTCGCAATAATTCTGGTTATTCCAGATGAGTGAGATAAATTCAACTTATATATATATCATGCATCTAGCTACACAAAATAAGAACGCCCCGGCATGTTGCAAGCGTCTGCAGTGTTTAACCGACTTGAAATTTCTGATAGGGTGGTTCGCCGATTGACAAAAGCAGGATATCCACTGGGCCACTGAGGTGTTGGGCAAACAAACTACACTGCTCAAGTGTTAATAGATTGGCTTGTTCAAGTGTGATAATTCATTTGCATCCAACGATCACTGGTGCACTACGTGTACCACGCCCGTCTCACGTTTCAGATATCTGTGGTTCAAGTCCGGGAAGGTTAAGAATCTGCACTATTGATGAGCCCTTCGTACCTTGGGTATGGGATAACCAGAATAATTGCGTCAGGGGAGAAGTAAAAGTACTCGAAGGAGGAGGGTGTAAGCGTAAACCCGAACAATGACATACCTTGGTATACCCCTCGAACTCGAGGACGCTATTCCACTCCCCAGATACGCGGGCGACCAGATTTGTCGGACTAGCACCGCGATCAATGGCTGATGCATCAGCAGCCTGCGGAGCATAAATTTCCGCGCTAACACGATGCAGTTTGTTGCTGCGAATGGGCTATGGAAAATAACGGGAACGTAAACAGAGTCATCAGTGGTATAGCGGGATAATCCTAAGGATCACCATCAAAGACAGTCCGGAAATGCAGCATGAGCGCGAACGCATCAGTTAATTTGCTGCATCTGAGGGTTTTCCGAATATGAGTACTAAGAGTATGGGAAAGTGAGAACAATACGGAAGAAGTTGGTGTATTATTAGTTTTTTCCAGTTTTTCAGCTCACAAGACGAGCACCGAATCGCATTGGTTTCAGTTGCTACAACTTCATTCACTGAGGATAAAGAGAATAATGGAATGACAGCCACGCGTTGCATGTGATGGCTAAATCTATGCACTGACGATAAACAAACTTTTGTCCAGAAAATGAGAGCTACGCAGTGAAGGCGGTAACTTTGATGCAAGAGCACTATCTATCAGGGTCACTGACTATTAGACTGTCTTGTCCAGAAGCAAACGGCAGTTAAAATCACGACCGAGTTGCCTGGTAAGGACTTTCATGCTTTGCTTTTAAGTCATGAACTGACCGCCTCTCAGTCGTCTCCATCCGATACAAAGCTCGCCGAAGAGAGCTATACGAGACAAACCGTCCTCTGACATAGGAAGCACATGGCCAAAACAGCGTAACCTATGGAGTGTGGCCGATTGATTTATTGAGGGAGAATGGACCTTCTCGAAAGCTATCTAATGTACTGATCTGGTGTTTACAACAGACTCGAAAGCATCTATGATCAAACACAGAGAACCTTTGAAGGTCTTTCAAACGAAGGGGCATAAGTAGGATGTATCGGACCGCCGCAGTGTATACTCTACCCTTGACAGTCAGGCTGATGTCATTTCAACACCACGAATATCGGACCTTGGCAAGCACTGCCCTCGCTTTCTCAGTTCACTAAGCGATTCCGTCTTTCACGAGTTCGCAGGGATCTACGCAGTTGCTCATATAGACGACCTTATCCACCACATCGATCGATTCGCCTGTAAGGATGAAGTATGGGTCTGATATCACCCAATCTTGCAGTAAGCGAGGTGCATACCGAACCGTACAGCAGAATTTAGATTATCCAAAGTAGTTAGCAATTCTAAGGGGTTGGATTCAAGGGTAACAATATGAGCCTGGAAGGTATTGGAGGCAGGTAAACAGACTCAAGCAGAACATCGAGAAGAAAGTTGAAAGCGAACATCTCTGCCTGGCACCATTGGATGTGGTGAAGTCAAGAAAGGATTTTCCGTGGAGACGCGTCCGTGGGAAGAGGCATATAAAGCTTATATAAGGCAAAAGAAATCAGAATGGATGTCATTCATCGCCAAATTGCCGCATTTTCTGACGTTCAACGGAATCGAAAGTAGATCTGAGATCCAGAAAGACTATCAGTGTTGGTTGCCGGAAGGAGTGTCACAGTTACAACACTAGTCGCAAAGTGAAGATATGATTGACACAATCCAGGACGGTGCGGAACCCAGCTTGATTCTCGCGAGTCTAACTCTCACAATTTCAACATTTGCTCAATCAACCATGTCTGACTGACACAACGCACCTTCGGAAAACCGAACTTCCCCCGTCATTATAAGATCATTTTTAGACTACTTTCTACGGCTGCAGACGAATCTGACATTTGTGTGGTGTTTACACCTGACAATACTCTAGAAACACCGTATGCATTCCCAGGTTCCAGTGGAACATGGCGATCAAACAGGATGGATGAAAGGCATTCATCGGGGGAAAAAGTGAGATATACTAGAGAGATTCACAGGGAAGTGGAAGTATGTGTAGCTGCCACCCCTCCTCTCCTCACGACAATTTAGCAAAACAACGAAAGACTTGCTGTCAGAGAACCATACCGCAGGTGGAATCAGGTTACCTACGTTCCCTGTTTTTGTGACTCCTGAAAGAGATCACATACATCATTGGAATGGAACATTGATCGATAGACGAATTCGGGTCAGCATTCAGTTGGAGATTGTTGTCCCGCAAATAAGGTGGGAAACAACAGTTCAAAACCTATTCTACGCAGACGGTGAAAATAGGAAACAGAATGACAGACAATTCGGAGGCGAGGTGTAGGGTTTCCAGTACACTCTACCTACCTTGGTATGGAATATCACACATGCAGAATAACCGGTTTGCGGGCACGCGATAGTGACTCTGTCACCTAATTCCACCCACGGGACAGTTAGAATGGATCGAGCGTAGGCGGTTGGGAATGCAAAGTGATATTCTTCGTTGTTGTGATGACCCAAACGAAGCACGGCTGAAATGAAAAAGGCAACGATCACAATCAATAATGTGAAAGAGGTAACTAAACTAAATTCACTAATATCAACAAAATGAGTCGGTAATCAAGGTGTTACAAGTATCAAGAAGAGCAGTACATAATTAAAAACCAGAACAGGCACCCGATTGGATATAGCCGTGTCCGTCCAAAAAGAGCACCCCGAGGACGTACTGCTTGTCAGCTTAGGAGTGATGGACAAACTGCAGGTGTTTGGGAGGAAACACTACAGCTCAAGAGTAAGGAAAATCACCAACACTGTGATAAAGGAGCCTGCCTTTCAGGCAGCTTTCAGTGAAAACAACAACGCCAAATATTGATCTGTATATTATCGCAACCTAATCGCGCACTTCGGAATTCTTGCTAATAAGCGGGCCATTCGCGTCTGCTGGTCACACCTTTGGATTTCTATCTCAGGCCATCCTGTTGGCAATATGATAACTTCAGAAATTTGAAACCAAAATGCATACCAGCCACCGGTCACTCAGACCTGTCTTGCGTGGTTGGCTTTGTTGCACAGGTGTCGAAGGCAAGCGAACAGCAGTTGTTTTTGTGATTTGAGACAAGTCTATGGTTATGACGATTGTTGGATCAATTGCTGACAAGAATGGCTAAGTTGGAAGCAATAGGTAATGGTTTTGAAGTTCCACTAGCTTACGGAATCAATTCGGGAGCTCACTAAGGTCCATGATGCAATGATATTCAAATTAAATGGAATCTTTGATCCTCTCGGATAAATTAGATGAGAGCTGATAAAGTCCTGATTTCAATCCCTCCATAGCATATAGACTGCATAGCGCTCGATACCCTTGAATAATGATAAAACTACTTGAGCCTGCAACCGGTCAATTGAGATACTTCAGACTTCCATAAAAGATTACGATATCGAGAAAAACGTATGAATACGGTTGCCTGCATGATTCAAATTGACAAATGAGGTAGACGATATTTCGGTTATCACAGGTAAAACTTTGGAAACCAACGGGTTTTGATTGCAACTTCATAGAAGTAACGCGTGTCTCGACTGCCAACGCTGAGTTACTCGTCACATGGCAGCCATCAAAAATGTCAGTAAATATACATCACGTCATGGGAAATCGTGGAAAATAATTGCATAACGTATAAAAGCTGTGAGTTTTCGGCTTGCCTTTCCAGTTGACGTTCAATCGCTTAGAAGAGTTCAGTCCACATTCTTCGTACACTATATGCCACCTGAATCGTGTTGGTCATGTAAAACCAGTGTGGATATGTACCATCTTGCGACTCAGTGGGATATAAAAAAGACAAGAACAATCGCGAACGTACTCTTTCCCAGCATGGTTACACTAACACTCATTCCTTGAAACTTCGATTTCGCGTGCACAAAGCAATTCAACTCCATCTGCTCCGAGGGCAATTCAATGTGAAACGCGGTAACTGGAGGATGATGGGACACTTGTTCTGCACAGTAGGTGATTACATTGGGTAGGTCAGTGTTCTCCGTGCTCGGCGCATTCGCGTTGCTTGTTGAGATCGATGCAACCGGTGGAGAGGAGTTTGGTGAGCCCATGGAAGATATAGGCCAACAGCAGTGGAATGACTCCCCAATTATTGGATTGTACGGCTTCTTGGCAACTTTATCCTGAAGAAAGAAAGGGCTCAAATGTACTTCGTGATCTTCGAGAAATCGTGTATGAAGCAAATGAAACTGTCGAACACCCTGACCGTTATCAATCGTTCACCAAATATTTCCAGAGTTGGCTTCATGTGAGGCCACCTCAAGGTGACTAAAAATTAGTCACAATGCGACCAGTGACAGATGCAACAAAATGTATCGAAAAATGAAGCAATGGTTGGGTTTTCAAAAAAGATGTCAGATACGAGCTAATCACGACTCATAGGTACCCGACGTCATTATGATGAGTAGCCATTCGCGGAAAAATCGGCTTGAACTTGGAGCGCGTGTTAGAGGTCACGTAAGACTGAATGGATTTTAATAAAATGTTTTAGCAAAGCTGCTACAAACCACAACATGATTACAAACGACGGAACGAACAAGATCAGAAACAAAATGTGATGAGTTAACAAAGCCAAATCTTTGTTACCTGGAAAAACAGGAGTGATATGGTGCGAAACACGGCATGCTCCGGATGGATAGAAGGAAAATAACGCTCAGTCGATGGTCATCTTGTTTAGAATGAAACATGCCATCTTCCTACCCTCGAAATGCTTACCCCCTTGAGATGCCGCCCCCGTAGCTTCGAAAACAAACATAGCCTATCTTGGTCTGCTTGCGTGTTTGTTTAGTTTATTTATACACACAGGTTATTTGCCTGAGCGTTGAGATTCATGTCGCAAAGCCACTCTCCTTAGAACAGGTGCCTCCAAAAATTGAACGCTCAAATCCACCTAAAGTCCACATAATTCTTCGAAGAGGAATGCTGAAAACAATGGAGACAACGCTGAATTTGGACAACTTTCAGTTTAGTTGCGCTATACGCTTGGAGCTGTGGGGTTCATCATGCCTCCCGTCGGCAAAGAGCTGGAGATAAAAAGTAAGTCTGTCAAACAACAGCACCTTGACCTTGAAAGCCTTGATTAGGGCTGATTATGGAAATTCTTTTTCACAGAATCATCAACAAATCTCCCCTCCCTTATAGAATAGACCTAATTCTTCCTTGTTTCCCGTTAAATGTGGGGTGTCTCATGTAGCAATTTCCATGTATACCAAACATCTGCAACTTCCGTAGTTAACTGGTTGCAACCACGCTGATGATCCTGCTATAGTTAGCCATATATATATATATATAT